TAATGCATATATATACACTTCTAAATATGCAATATACTTATAAATGTAAAAACTTTGCTTTGCATTTCTCTTATGCTGATTTTATATATGCATACAAATAACATAAACCTGTTTAATACATCTAGGATTCCATATAAGTAGCAGGTTCTTGAAGACAGTTTTAGGAGCTTTTGAACAAAATGAGTTGAGTTCATGGGAAGATCAAATACCCTGACGAACAGGGTGCTCCAAAACCAGTACTGAATCTGTGTTATCTCCACACAGATTTTATATTTCTAATATGCAACAAAGCCTCCACACTCCGCACCCATAGTATGTGGTGAGCTGCTATAGCAATGGTTATGCCACTGCAACTAGCATTTTCATAACCAGCAATGGAAATGTACATTACTTTAACTTTACTGAGTCTCTAGCCCAGTATCTTAGCATACTTCCTGGTTTCCATGACTCAACCTGCTTCTTCTTTTAGCCTCCTGCTACCCACTAACGTGCCCATCCTGCTCCTGGTCCAGTCCTGCCAAGCACTTCTCTACTGCTGTTTTGTATCAATTTGTATGTAATTTAATTTACTGGCTTGTGTGCGTTTCGTTGCACCAGGCTGTTTTATACTCCGCTTGGCTTTGCATTTCACTTGGTTGTTTATTATTTCTTTCAACATTGCTTTCTTTTCACGTTTTCACAATAAAAGGTTCAATTCTTGGTTCCCTGACAACTGCCATAATGATTCTAGCAGGAATGACTGGCCATAACAATAATGCTATGAGATTTTTGGGGCCAGATTACCTTTTGCCAGACTACTAGAAAAAAAGATTTCCATTCCAAAATTAAATTGCCTGACTGCCGTGTCACGATAGGGGTAGGATGCCATCAACAAGGCTATCGTGACAGAAAGAAAAAATGAAGTTGTTGTAGTATAGTTGGGCACATCTTATTCTCATTTATTTGGGATGGTTTCCAAACACTTGCCGGGTAACTTCATCTTCCAGTTCTTATTGAGCTCCGTGTACTGAATGGAACAGAGGGACAAAGAAAGCATTGTGTAATCGAACCCTATGCCCTGTACATTCTACAATAGTGTACACGTCACTGGTCACCATTAAAAAGATGGGAGACTTCAGGCAGGCATTGATGCTGAAGCGCCAGTTACGTCCGAAGGCTCAATGGCCCAGTCTAGTTGCAGAACATCTAGCTTGTGAAGAATTTTCAAAAAGTTCTCACACAGAACAATGAACAATGTGCAATCATTACTTATGATCAGGTTGAATTAAAATAATTTTGTGTCATATTATACCATTAATATCAAATAAGTAATGATGACATCACATCACCCATTACCCCATACAAGCACTTGTTCCAATGGTTATATCCAGGAGTATGATATGTAGTTTGAATAGCAAAATAAAATAACAGTACAATAAAAGAACAAATATGTGCAAATCCATCACAAAAATAATGTTATTTCAAATGTTTACCTTAATGTTTCTCCGGAAGATCCCCTCCTTTTCCATAGGTTGACCAGGCTACTAGAGCGGCTGGCTGCTGAAGATGACTTCCCATCACCCACATGCATGCGCACCACGGTGGAAGTGGTGAACGCGCTTCGGACGTTCCTCTCTGGTTTGGCCAGGATGATGTAAACCTTTGGCACAAACATGCAGCCCAATGCTACCGTGGCACTCAAGCTCACCGAGAAGCACATAGTTACAATTTTGTAATTACTTCCAAAATAGATTGGCACAAAGGCCAGCCAAATAATGCAGGTGGTATACATAGTGAAAGCAATGTATTTTGCTTCATTGAAATTGGCTGGCACGTTTCTAGTCTTGAATGCGTAGAAGGTACAACTCAGGATCAACAGCCCATTGTAACCGAGCGGTGTTACGACACCCAGATTGTTGGTATTGCAGATCAGGTATACCTCTCGAATGCTGGGATAGTCGAAAATGACATCCGGGGGCTGCATGATGAATAACGCAACGATGATACCTAACTGGATGCAGATTAAGACAAATGCAATAACCAACTGGGCGCAGGCGCTCATGAACCTTGGCTTCTTGGTACAGATTTTCTTTTTGCTTCCAGCCAGAATCCGTGCTATGCGGTTTGTTTTGGTGACAAGGGCCGAATAGCTCATCGCTGGAGAAAGGCCAATACCGATTCTTTGCAGGTAGCAGTAGATCCGCTGCGGTCTTGCAATGAGGCAGAAGGTGCACAGGTAGCCTAGACAGATGCCCGCTAGGATGATATAGCAAAGCTCCCTGCTAGATGACTTCACTACAGGAGTATCTCTGTATAGGATAAATATTGCTGTGACAAACATGGTCGCCATTAGGCCTAGGCATGCAAAAACGACAGCAGCGATTGGCTCTGGATCACTCCACCTGAGGAATTCCACTGGGATATGATCACACCCTAGAAGAACATAAACAGAAAAGATCATGAATCTCAGGACCTTTATTTATCAAAACACATAAGAAATCTACCATGTAATAGACAGGCTGTTCAATTCAATAAAAACTTCAAACATCTTAAAGCCCAACCCTTGCCAAAACATTTCCTTTAGGATAGCATGGGGTAAAGGTTAGAACCGTTTGACAGGTTTTTACTGGGAAGATTTCCCATTGCTTTTCTTGTACAGGTATCACAGACAGGAAGTAAATGAAAAATGCCCAACAGGGTCACAGTCAAATAAAAACCTGATAGAAATTTTTGCTTACATTATCCACAAAGAAAGAAAACTATTTTGTCTGGAGTTGAATCGATCAATTCTTGCTATGCTAGGTCAGTAATTTTGTTATTTATTTATATTCAAAGTGTAGGGTTGTGTGTGTGTTTTTTTCTTGTGTGTTTAGAGTAGTTCAGCTTATTTTAGTCAGCATTCTTTGCATTTATGAGTTTTCATGTTTTTTTTTACATTTGATTGATATTTTTGTTTGTAGCCGCCATCACATTCAGTGATGTGGTTACTAGACATTTAATGATTGCCAGGGCTGTAGACAGCCTGGCTGGAATTATAGTGGCAGTTATCTGGTTAATTCCAGGTGTCTGGCATTGCCTGTACCCCCCTGGGCGGAGTGTGACTCTGTCATATTGTGGGACAGCCAATGAGAGGCACTGTAGTGTATGTACAGTACAGCAGCCAATGACTGGGTTTCTCTCAACCAGTGGTGCATGCTGGGATAGGGTACATATACTGGTGGGATTTGCCATGTGCTGAGACTAGCTGGGGCCAGCCATGGATTAGGGCTGGTTGCTGTTCAGCCTGCCCTCCAGGCTGGGCCTAAGGCCTGGGGGTGGGCATAGGCTGGTGTGAGGGAAATGTTTCCCTGAGGCCTCCAACACAGAGGAGGTCTGTGTTGCTGGAGTGGAAGAGACCCAGGACCAATGATGGCTCTTGAAGTTTCCTGGAACCAGAGGACTCCAGGAGTATGGTCGGTGTCTTTCATGCCGATATTTGTCCTTGCTCATCTGCTACTTCAGTTGCTGTCCGCTGCCTCCCAAGTGGATCTACACTGATATGCCAACCAGGTCTGGTGAGTCTGAAGCTCTTGCCGGTTACAGCCTGGAACCTTAGAACCCCTATACCCTCTCTCCCCAGTGGAGATGTTCAATAAAAGTTATTCTGCATTATATTACTGGAGTGGACATCAGCTATTGTGGGCACTGGAAGAGGGCAGTTAATGCCAATGGGTGGGAAGCTGAAGATCATACCCTAGACAGACTAGAGATGAACCGGGCATTCAGCGGCTCCCTTGGGGGTAGCGCTACATATTCTTTTGCTTTTTTTAAAATTTTTCCTTTTTTGTTTGATATTTGTTTCTTTTTTAACAGCTTATCAGGCTAATGCGAGTCTGTTTTTCTGGCACAAAAATAGATTCAGGATAGTCATAAATTGAAAGTTTTAATTTACCCAAAATTTCAACCGGAATTTGTCGACATTTGGCCATTTTGGGGAAAGCATTCAAGGCCAAGTCATTGAGGAGGGCAACAGGAAGGTGGGTTTTGGTGGTGTTTAAAGGTGCAGTGGGCTTTAAACGGCTCTTAAAAGTTGACAAAAGTTGCTTTCCCCATCCCTAATGGTGTCATACTCTACCCAATTCTCCAAAAGGCGAATGGATTCTTCAAATGAGTTCTCCATTTCTTCTCGCCCCAACAAACCTAAAGCTGTACCTTTACTGCCAAAACTATGGTAACTATTTATAAAGGGCCCAACAGCCTTTGTAGCCATTTTTTGGAAAACTGTTTTAGCCCAGATTTAATAATTTTTTTCTCAAAGAAAATTTCACCCTTTCCAGTTTGCCTTCGCTAACATTTTATGTTAGCGAAGGCAATGATGACTTTATGATGACTTCGTTGGGCCGCCTGGTGACTCCACGAGATGTTGAAAGGTGATGCGAGGAATCTGACACGGCACTGTTGCCCTTCTGTTGTCTTGTACCAGTCTTGCCACTCTCCGTTCTGCCCTAACATTGACTAGTCGCTGACGGCCACAATTCGCACGTTCAGACCCAGATTTTCGGCTGACAGTCCAGTCTTTAAACACTTTAACAACAGCTGCTCTTGAACATTTAACCAATTCTGCTGTTTTGCTGATACTCGCTCCATGGCTCAGTGCCTGCGACCCTGTGATATAAGAATGAAGGCATGCTGGGACTTGCAGTTCAACTACAACCAGCATGCCTTCATTGCCCCTGTACACCTCTCCACATCACCCAGGGAACTACATGTCCCAGCATGCCCTTATGGTCTTTGTACACCGTCCCCCACGTAAATCACCCAGGGAACTACAAGTTCCAGCATGCAAGCCCTCTGCAGTAGTTCCCTGCGTGATATTGCGAGTTGTACAGGGACAGTGAGTGCATGCTGGGACTTGTAGTTCCCTGTATGATAGAAGGCTATTTTAATTACTTTCCTCATGAAAATACAATGCCATTATAGTACAGTAACTTTTTAACTCAACTATATTCTATTCAATGTTTCTATAATGACTTTGTATTACTAGTACTTTCATGAGGGCAGTAATTAAAACAGCCTTCTATCATACTGGGAACTACAAGTCGCAGCTGAACTGCCGACTTGTTGTTTCCTAGTAGTGTAATGACATTATAGAACATGGAATAGAATATAGTCAGTTTCAGCCATATTCTATTCCATGTTCTATAGCTTGAGCAGGGTGCTGCAAAAAAAACATACCAGCGTGGGGGGACCGCGGCCGGGTACATCGAGGCGGGTCTCTGTATCAGGTGGCTGCTGCTGGGTCCTCGCAGCTGAGGTAACGCAGGGAAGGGGGAGGAGTCCGGTCTCGTTACGGACATCGCCGTCAAAATCGAGTACCAATATTATTTATCTTTTGGTACTCACCAATACCAAGCACCGATACTTTCGAGAGCATGGAGCCGGCCTCCCGGTCAATCAGGAAGCTGGGCAGTGGGTCATTACCTGCTGCCTGGCTTACTGATTGGCTGGAAAGCCGTCTCCATGCTGTTTGGTTGGCTCAATGCTGATTGGCTGGGAAGCCGGCTTTCCGGCAACACCATGGAGACGGCTTCCTTGCCAATCAGGAAGCCAGGCGGTGGGTCATTACCCTTGCACCAGTGCCGGTCAGGGGAAATCTTCCTCTGATTGGTAGTTCCGGTTTCAGAGGTAAGTACTCGCCCAAATACTCGGTATCTACCCCGATACCGATACTAGTATGCATCCCTAATTGATATATATATCAAACTCATACACTAAATGTGTTAGTAATTCTGTGCAGTAACAATACACAGATAATGTGGAAAAAATATTAGGGTTGACTTATTAATGGCGAATAAGCTGTTCATCTTGCGGGGGAATTTTCCTTTTGCTTAATGAATAAAGGTGAAGCTCTGCTGACTTCCATCATCCAATCATGTGCAAGCAAAAATACTGTATTTTTTTTATTTTCCTTGCACATGATTGGGTATTCTTTGCCAAGTGAATTTTCACCGCATTCACTAAGCTAAGGGAAAATTCCCTTGCCAAGTGAACCAACCCCAGTATCCCTAAAAAAGTCTACCAAAAACTTGGCAGCTCCTGGTGCTATTTCCACCAACACAATAGGCTCAAGGCTTTAACGCAGGGATAAGGATCTTTATTTTAGCCGTGAGACTGTAATTTGCAGAGCTCATTAGAATCAGCTGAAAATAACTCACTTTATTTGAAAATCCAGATAATTATCCTGGTGTGTCTGCTTTGTGAACTGAGCCTAACGTCAGTTACCTGTTTGTTAATAAGTGTGATGGAAAATGGTGGGCAGGTAGGCTTTCACAGGTGGCCTGCTGGGAAATGGCATGCAAATTCCAGTACGCCACGTTTTATAAATAGGCCTTTAAGAACTATTCCTTTTATCCCACTGTTGATTGACAGCTTTGGAACAAACAAAAGTAAATCTTGTCAGATACAATTATTGGGGTCAAATTTATGATCAATTTAGACTACTGCGACAATGAGAAATTGAAGCAGCAGGATAGAAAACAAACAACTGAATTGCTAACAGTGAATGTGGTTTTCATCTGGGAGACTCCATTCATTCCAAAATCGAATGTTAAAAACAAAGGAAATTTCCAACGACAATGTCAAGTCTCTGACGGCATTATCGAATGTTCTGACCAGATTTTTGGTATGAAGGTTTGTATGAAAATTCACCACTTTATGGCCAGCTTTACAGTAGCAAGCTCTTATTTGAAAACCGATGCTGAAGACGCACTTGATATATTTTTTTTACTGCTTTTTATTATTTCCATTCTAACCCATGAAATATAATCCTCTAGAATGACAGAAGGACAATTTATTGGACGTCATGTTTCTTCAACACTAGTTTTCCCGCAACAGCCTTGTTGACCTTCGGTAGTTAATACAGTCCGTGTCTTGCCATGCTGTAGTAAAATATTGTCTCCTAGCAACACATATCATCGGCGGGTAAGCCCAATTTCATCAAACTGCGTTTTTTTCCCCGATCAGAATTGATTTCTAGAGAAAGTCTTATCACCTAGAGCGACGTGAGGCCATTATGAGATAGCAGGAGATGGAAAACACACATTTCTATATGTCACAGGCTAATATGCTGGTAGCTGTGGGTCAGCTCCTCTTCAGTCTGGGATTTTTATGGTATCATTATTTTTTCAAAGTATTTTTTTTTATTTCTGAGGATCCTTTATACTAGCTAGATATAAAATTCAGGCATGAAGTAGTCCATGGAGCTAAGTGGCAACTAATCAGAGGCGCATAAAAGCACAAATATAACGGGTCACAGCTACCGCTCTGACGTGTTTCCATACTGAACTGTACACTGAGTGGCCAGTTTATTATGACCACCTGACGTTTGTAGGCAAATTAGCTGAAGTTGCTAGAGGGCCAGACCATTATAAATAGGGAAGCAGGTTGTTTACCAC